ATTTTATTTTATTTTATTTATTTATTTATAAATAAGATCTAAATATACACTTTGCTCCCTTAGATCTTCTTTGTCCTGAGGAAGAAGAACAGCCAGCTGACGTTTCTTCATGTCTACCATCATGCCATCATGCCGTTCACCTGGTGGTTTGGGGTTCGTTTTTCTCCAGGTAAGTCCCTCCTCCCATGTTTAAAGTATCTAGAACATTCCCTGCTTGTTTTGTGAGATATTCTGACGTTCTCGTGACGTTTCAGGTGGAATGGGAACATTCCATGCCCTGCTGAACTGTGTTGTCCATGTTGTCATGTACACATATTACGGGATGAGTGCAATGGGCCCCAGCTACCAGAAGTACCTGTGGTGGAAGAAGCATCTCACGACCATTCAGCTGGTATGTTATGTGATTTTTTTTTTTTTTTTGCACTTTTTCTTAGAGTTTTAACGTTTCATCCCATAAGTTGACTAACTTTTTTGTTTGTTTGTTCTCCTTAGATCCAGTTTGCTATGGTGACCACTCACATCTCCCAGTATTTCTTCATCACGGACTGCAAATACCAGTTCCCCGTCTTTATCTACATCATTGGGCTGTACGGCCTGATTTTCATGTTTCTCTTCCTCAACTTTTGGTACCACGCCTACACCAAAGGCAAGAGGCTCCCTAAAGTGCTGCAGGCTGAAACATGGTCGCACCACACCAACGGAGTCATGAACGGGAAGGCAGACCATACAAAGTGTCAGTGACGTAAACCTCTGGGGCGTTATTTTTGGGGTTGAGCTTCATTTACACAAGCAAACGAGATGCTCTGAGATTCAACCCAAACCTGTTTTGGACTGTTTTTTTTTTTTTTTTTCCTTCATGGCTGCTTTTCTACTTATTGGTCACAATTTAAGAATGTGCTTTTCCAAAGCTTGGATTTATCTAGCTCACTGAACTAAGCTAAGAGCTTTTATTTATAAAGCCCAGGTTCTGGTACATGCAGATTTCTCAAATGTCCAGGTTTAAAATTCACGTTTACACTGACCAGCTGGCTTCTCCTGTGGTCAAACTGTAAGGGCCCTCAATTGTACAGATGGCACTGAACTTCCTTAAAAATCCCTTTTATCCTAAAACCCTTTTTACCTTTTTGTTCTAACTTCTCAGAAAGCTTTAAGTAATCAAAGTTATCATCTTTTTTTTAAATGTGCACTGAAATGTTTTTTTCTCCTCACCAGGCCTGACACAGTTGTTTGCAGTTTTATTAGTYAAACCACACGGGTCCTGTCATTAATTAGTTACATAAGAGCTGAGTTTGTTTACGTTTGACACTACCCACTTCTCCACAGCAGCTGTTGATGGTAACGACATGCAGTAAAAAAAGTGCAATTTCTCACAAGAGTAGCATCATTTTTCATCCTCTCCTATGAAGCAGTGTTGTGACATTAATCCGATTTAAACCTGGTGGTTCTTGTAGGATCCAGAACAGACTACATCCTTTTTTTTTTTTTTTTTTTACTGAGGCAAATTGCAAACACTTACTGGATGCAAAGCTGACAGTTTTAGGTGTTCAGTCAACAAAGCAGGAATGAACTTCTGCTTTTAAGCAGCGTGCTGATGATGTTTTCAAATGGGCAGGAGTTTGTAGTTTTTATATTTTTGTTCTTAAATTGTAACATGACCCTAAACGCTCTGGTGACAGAGGACATGAGATTTGAGTTTTGTGTGGAAAAAGTTCCACCTTTTTATGAAGCACAAACGCACGTTAACTCTGAAGGTTTACAGTCGGAATATATATTTTTTTCCAGTTCACCAGTGAAATAATATTTTGAAAATGTTGTTTATATTTGTATTTTATATGTATTTATATGGAAAATAAATGATGAATGTACTTTAAAAATGTCCTTGTGTTTTGTATATTTGAACTGAAGTAAAAATGAAGTTGCAGTA